TATATACCCTGTATATATATTACATACAATATTTTGTGTTTTGTGTTATACATGTATTATATATATTATACACAGTATTTTGTGTTTTGTGTTAAAGCCCACAGTCAGGTTGATTTTGTGTTTTTAGGTATCAGGTTTGTCCAAATGGCTCGGCCAGAGTTTGGCGCCCCTACAGAAGATYCCCCCCTTCGCCATCTCCATCCTGCTGTCCCTCCTCGTCGCCACCTTTACAGAGTGCTCCAGCAACACGGCCACCACCACTCTCTTCCTGCCCATCCTGGCCTCCATGGTACACAAAACTCCACAAACACAAACACAAAGCCTTCGTTGTGGATACCTGAGTGTAACGCATGTTGTTTTGYGTCTGTTAAGGCCACAGCCATCCAGATACACCCTCTGTACGTGATGCTGCCCTGCACCATCGCTGCCTCTCTGGCCTTCATGCTGCCTGTGGCCACGCCCCCCAACGCCATCGCCTTCTCCTTTGGAAACCTCAAAGTCATAGACATGGTGAGAGTCGAGATGATTTGGTGGAGAGTTGATGAAGTCATTAGTTGTATTAACTAATATCTGATATATTACTGAATATCTGTTCCTTCAGGTAAAAACGGGCTTCATGCTGAACATCATTGGAATTCTCTGCATTAATTTGGGCATCAACACCTGGGGTTACGCCATGTTCAACATGGGCACCTTCCCTCAGTGGGCCAACAACACACACAGTCTCCCTTAAGGTTCAGGGAGATAAAGCCAAACCAAAAAGTGTTTCTAAAATAACGTTTTACTTTAATTTATTTAGTCTAAAAATGTATATTTTGCCCTAAATTGAACAAAAAGTTGGATCTCAGAGGCCTCCAACACCTAAACGTCATTAAGAAAATATGTTTTCTTTAAACAAAAAAAGTGACATCCGCATTAGAAAGCTGTTTTCAGTTTTGAATAATTAGATCATTACAAATTTGGCGCACCATAATAATGATAAAAATAGCAACAGCACATATTCSAATGGAGTTAGTGTTTCTAAATTAAGAATTACAACCGAGGTATTTACTGAAGGCTTCTGAGCTTTCAGCTTTAATATTAAACTTTAAGCGAACAGCAGTTCCTGGTGTCAGGGACGGAACAAACCAGAAACAGTGGATGCTTGTTTCCTCGTGAGCATCGTCCTGCAAGTGTCGACATTTTATCGACCCGTTTATCATTTACAGATCACGCTCACGGGTTGGCTTTTACTCTGATTGTTGCTGGATTTTTTCATAAGCACAATGGAAACATAAGAGGCTGAATTAACTGTATCAGTTAATTTTAATTTATTACCGTAAGCTTAATTCATTGTAAGTCTTTTTTATTTGGTTGCATGTTTTTCTTTATCAATGTTTTTTTTTATTACACCAAACACACACCGACTTTTCTTTTTGTAATTTTAAACACCAAMGTGGAAAATTTTAGGTGATTATTTATATGCTGCACTTGTATTGTTTTTTAGATTAATATTGAAAAATTAAGTTTCTGCTACGTTTTTCAATATAATCCTTTTTTTCATCAACTGGTATTATAATTGGGTAAATGGGGAAATTCATTCTAACGAAAGTTTCTTTACGAGAAAAGTCATGTCTTAATACAAGATGGTCCATTTATGGTTCTTATAAACAARAAGTCCACTTGAACCTGCTCTATTACTGATAAGGATAAGTTTCTGAAGCAGATAAAATGCAAGAGCTTGAAAAAAACAAAWGAGCTTTTAACTGTCGTAGCTAAACGTGGTGAATAAATAACATCTTACCTGTTGTAGAAAGCTTCAGTAACAACTTCATTATGGAAAAATAGAGTTTAGTTCTGACAGGATTAACAAACAAAAGACCAAATTGGATTATTGCTCTTTAAACTACTCCAGTACAAACAAATCCACATGAACACTTATATAAAGTCTTACACCTCTTGTTTTTATTATATGCTTATTTGCACATTGTGCGTTTTCTTCCTGCATCAGCTAGATATAACAAATCTTGCAAAAATATCCAGAGATGTAAAGTAACTAAGTACAAATACTTTGTTACTGTACTTAAGTAGAAATTTTGGTTATCTGTACTTTTCTTGAGTAATTATTTTTCAGCATACTTTTTACTTTTACTCATTTTATTTTTACACAATTATCTGCACTTTCTACTCAGTACATTTTTTAAAAAGATAAGAAGTAGAAAGTCGTTACTCCTATTTTATTCTGAGTTGTTATTACTTAAAAAATACTATCCTGATAAATTGTGTCTCCTAATTGTGGTTGGATGAGAAGTATAAATATATACCATTCTGACACAGTATTACTTTGTACACAACCCTTCACAGCTGCATGCTGTTAGAAAAAATTATTTTTTGGAGAAGTCACCTCCCAATAAATGTCATTTAGGAAAATCTAACTGCTCACTTTTACGCAGTACTTTTACTTTTAGTACTTAAGTAGATTTTGTGTCAGAAATTTACTTTTTATACTTAAGTACAAAAARTATCAGATACTTTAAGACTTTTACTCAAGTAATATTTTTTAGAAAAGACTTTAACTTTTACCAAAGTATTTTTTATGATAAGATACATGTACTTTTACTCAAGTATCACTTCGAGGTACTTTTTAACAACACAGAGAATATCTTAATATTTTACCGGTAATAACTGCACAAACAGGCTTAAAATATATAATAAATATAATAATCCATTTTAGTCTTTGCTWTGTTAAAACTAGATCAAACCAGTCAGAAAAAAAACATTTTTATTACTTGAAACTGAACTCTATCTGCAACAGGTAAGATATTAACTGTTCATAAGTGCAAAAACACCTTTCAAAACATCAGCATCCTTTTCTTTTCCACATTTTATCCTGCAGCTCAGCAGGTAYAGGCCTAAAATCGGACCCAACGGAACCCCAGTTAATCTTATCAAACACTGAAATGTACATTTCATCAGCACTTTAAACAAAGATGTGTGTAAATTGTGTAATTGATTTGAAAGTGGTGCACCTGCTGCTATTATCTAAAAGCTGACCGTCAGCACTGAGGAAGGAGTAGCCCACAAATCAATGTCAGGTTGATGTTAATAAATGAGCGAACAGCATGTTCAGATGAAAAGGTGGTTGAAGGGTAACTGTGAGATAAGAGGCTGCCAACAGGAAGCCGGGGCAGCAAAGACCAGTTTCTGTCGTGTTTATTGGGAGCGCTTGTCATAAACGAGAAAAAAAATACAAGGGGACAAAGACAGAACGTCCAGAGAGATATACATTTATCATTAAATGTTGGCTCTGATATTAAAACACCATCATGCAAACCATGTGTCTCTTTCATTTCCTCATTCAAGACGCCACAACACTTCGGAAAAAATCCAATAAATCTTTATWAATTTTTTAAATTTAAGTCTTACCAACATCAGAAAACAAAATAATCTGCACGATTCACATCTGGTCATGTTTAAATCTCTCTTCTATAAATATCTGCATCACTTTCTTTTTCTTTTTTTCTTTTTTTTTAACACAAAACATTCAAGTTTATTCTCCGGCTGAGTTCCCTTCGGTGCGTTTTACATCTTGAACCACATTTGTTTTGTTCTAAAAAAAAAAAAACTCCAATAAAATCTGAATTACCGTCCAAACACAAAAGTGGATTCAAGTAGTTTTCCCCATGAACTTGGCTCAACTAGCGTTTAGAAGTGATTTATGATAGGAAATGAAAATGAACAGTATTCTCAGTGCAGGATATGGCTCAAATAAAAATGTAAAAGATGATTCGGATCCTCTCGAGTCGAGCTGTGTCTCTGTAAAATGTGCACAAAAGAGTTTAAAGGCGAAACCGAGACGCTTCGGATATTTAACAAAACCTGCCGAGGATGACCGCAGGAACAAAAACATGACATAAAGGTAATTTGTGCTACATTTTTCAACTTGAAACAGATCATCTGGAGCAAACTTGAACTTGAACCCAAAAGGCGAAACTTTCACAGGTTTTCTTTTAATCGCATTAAAGCGACAATCCGACTCTTTTGAAGCGGAGTTCTGTGACGAATTGATATGTCAGAAATGGGATCCAGCTCTTTGAAGGACTTCAGTTTGGAGAAATGAAAGTTGATTCTAAAGTGAAACAGCTTTAGTCTCAAAAATGTCACAGCTTATACAGCGGGTAAAATAAGTATTGAACATGTCAACATTTTTCTCAGTAAATATATTACTAGAGGTGCTAAAGACATGAAATTTTCACCAGAWGTTGGTAACAACCCAAGTTATCCATACATAAAAGAAATCAAACCATAAATGTCCAGAAATGAAGTTATTTGTAATAATGTGGAATGGCACAGGGAAAAAGTATTGAACACATGAAGAAAGGGAGGTGTAAAAAGGCAGTGAAAGCCAAGACACCAGCTGAACTCTCTCAGTAATTAGAAAGCAAGCCTGCCCCTTGTCAGTGCAAGTTAATATCAGCTGGTTCAGTCCCAAATGATGGCCAGGTATCACACAAGAACCATCTGATGATGGGTAAAAGTAAAGAGCTCTCTCAAGACCTTCACAACCTTATTGTTGCAAAGCATAATGATGGCATCGGTTACAGAAGAATGTCTAAACTTCTGAAGGTTCCAGTGAGCACTGTTGGGGCCATAATTCAGAAGTGGAAAGAACATTATTTCACCATAAACCGACCACGACCAGGTGCTCCTCGCAAGATTTCTGACAGAGGAGTGAAAAGAATTATCAGAAGAGTTGTCCAAGAGCCAAGGACCACTTGTGGAGAGCTTCAGAAAGACCTGGAATTAGCAGGTACGATTGTTTCAAAGAAAACAATAAGTAATGCACTGAACCACCATGACCTGTATGCACGCTCACCACGCAAGACTCCACTGCTGAAGAAACAGCATGTTGAAGCTCCTTTAAAGTTTGCTGCACAACATTTAAACAAGCCTGTGTAATACTGGGAGAATATAGTCTGGTCAGATGAGACCAACATTGAACTGTTTGGATGCCAGAATACACATCATGTTTGGAGGTCAAATGGCACTGCACATCAGCCCAAAAACACCATACCAACAGTGAAGTTTGGAGGTGGGAACATCATGGTGTGGGGCTGTTTTTCAGCATATGGTACTGGCAAACTTCAAATAATTGAAGGAAGGATGAGTGGAAAAATGTACAGAGACATTCTTGATAAAAATCTGCTTCCATCTACCAGGATGATGAAGATGAAACGTGGCTGGACATTTCAGCAAGACAATGAGCCCAAACACAAAGCCAAGGAAACTCTCAGTTGGTTTCAGAGAAAGAAACTAAAGCTGCTGGAATGGCCCAGCCAATCACCTGACCTGAATCCAACAGAAAATCTATGGAAAGAACTAAAGATCAGAGTTCATAGAAGAGGTCCACGAAACCTTCAAGATTTGAAGACTGTTTGTGGAAGAATGGGCCAAAATCACACCTGAGCAATGCATGCCACTAGTTTCTCCATACAGGAGGCGTCTTGAAGCTGTCATTGACAACAAAGGCTTTTGTACAAAGTATTAGATAAATTTCAGTAAGCGTGTTCAATACTTTATCCCTGTGCCATTCCACATTATTACAAATAACTTCATTTCTGGACATTTATGGTTTGATTTCTTTGTATGTATGGRTCACTTGGGTTGTTACCAACATCTGGTGAAAATTTCATGTCATTAGCACCTCTAGTAATATATTTACTGAGAAAAATGTTGACATGTTCAATACTTATTTTACCCGCTGTAAATCGTTACCACTCAGTCAGTTTCATATTATTACTCTGCTGTGGACGATGAACCACCTGTCACAGTGAACGTTTGTCTGTTAGCAAAATAACTCATGAACTACACACCAGGTTTAAATGAAATTTTCTGTAAGTCATCACTGGAGGAACAACTAAAACTGATTTATTTTTAAAGTCAACCAAATTTAAGATGACCTCCGCAGACGACTGATCTTAGCACAAACACAGACATAAGTCAGTGAATTTCACTGTAATTAAGCTAAAACTTGTTGTGGTAGTAGCTAAGATTGAAATACTTTCGACTCATTTTTTTCTTATTTCAAGAATCTTACCAAGTAAAGTTTTCTTACTCCATTGGCAGAAATTTTTGACTTAATCTGAGTCAAATTTTCAGACTAACAAGACAAATAATCTTACACATTCTGAAAACAAGATTATCATTCTTACACAATCAGTTCTTGTTTAGTAAATCAGTCTCAAAATTAGATCAAAAAGGACTTTTTGGCTGATATAAGATTTTAAAACTTGGTTAGGTGGACAGTTTTTGCATTGTACAATCCTGTGGTAGTTCAGAGAAACAAAACAGCAGCAGCAGACAGCTGTAGCACTTCCCACAGGAACATCATATTTCTGCTAAGATAACCATGTAATATAAAAACTGATGTTAAAGTTTATAAAACTAGCTTTTTATAAACCGTTATAAAACATTTGAGTCGATTATCTTCTCAGTCGTAACCCGCTTAGGTTCTGGTTCGGTTCATTCGCATTAACTCACCAATCCATTCAAAACTGAAGTCACTCAAAGAGCTATCTGCAGCAGGTAAGATGCTGATTGTTTGTATTGTTTCAATGAAAAACCCACTCCAGAAGATCTGAAGTAACAAAATAACATGGTGATGTAAAGTATGTTTATGGTCGTACCGGACCAGTTCGCCTTATACGTTTTTTATTGTTGTAAAAAATCTTGTGCTTTGAGAAAACATAACAAACACACAGTGTGTGCGCCACTGTCTGAACAAGTCACACAACTCAACAAACAAACCAGGACCAAAGGAAATGAGAAATAAAATAAGACTGATTTACTGTGAAGAAACTCTGCTAACATGTTCTGGTGATCTACTCTAAAACTCACATTTAAATTATTGTCTTTTTTTAAACCAGAGCAGTTCTCATGCTGACACTCCGACAATCGTACAAAAGGACGAGAAACACACACATCAAAAGCACTCGTTGAATCAGAGAAATAGATTTTTTTGTTCCTAAAGTCCTATAAACATGTTTTTAAATGCACGATTTGTTCCTCTAACAACCACAGGAATGAAAAAAATAATTTCTTTCTGCATAAGAAGAGCGTTTCTTTAAACGACGTGGCGAAAGAGCAAAAGAGCTTCTGAGATTTCTTTTAAAAAATGTTCACCTGCTGGTTTGTTACACACCAGTGTGTGCATTATGTTTGTGTGTGCACAGCATTTTGTTTTTAAATCATACCTCTACACGCGCGCACGCACACACAGATATAACAAAGATGTCTGTTCCTGGATCCAACCTGTCAAAAAGACAGACAGGAAGTCAAACCCAGAACCGTTCTCTGATCGTCCCTCAGGTTTTGGTCCATATATCCACTCATCTCTCCAGGTGTGTGTGTCCTCTCTACGTCCCGCCGTTGTACGAGTAGTCCGCCTTGTTGTGCATCACCAGCTTATTATCCACAAAGTAGAAGCTGTCGGATTGTGTCTCGTATGGATGGAGGACCATCTCTCTGACTGTAGGCAGACAAACATCACAGTTGTTCTTACACAAAGAACCATAAGATCTCAGTTTGAACCAGAAGGAAACAACATCACCTTCGGAAAAAGCAAAGTTCTCTGCAAGCTTCATAATTACACAGATCTAAGTTAATCCCAACAGGCAAAAATATCAAAACGTTTGGGATGTTATGTAGCTAAAAACAGGAGCCAATTGTTGTAAATAACTTGAGCAGTAGCTTAGATCTTTTTTTAAGTGAGGAGCTGTGGAAAGGTTACTAACAATGAACATCTTACCTGCTGTTGATGACACTTTAAGCAGCCTCAGTTTGGAGGATTAGCGAGCTATTAGCTAATCTGATTATTTTAAAACAACTCTAGTCTCAAAGATATTTAAGTGGTTATTCTATCATCTTTTACATCAGCCTTGTTTTTAAAGGGATCCACGATTAGTTGTAACATTAAACTTTATTTGATAAACATTTATTTCAACTGTAAAATAAAGACTGTAAAAATACTGTAGGCTGTTTAGTTTGTAATTTTTTAAATATATTTTAACATGGACGGGGCCATTTTATTTACACGCAAAGCATTCTGGGTAAATGATGACATCAACTAGGTCCTCGGTGCGAGGCTGCTAGTGAGCTATATCCACCCTGAAGGTTAATCTTGGACAATATCTGATGACCGACTCTTTTAAATGAAACCAGAGAGCGTTGACAGAGAGGAGAAGGTAGAAATGACTCAGCCTGGAACTGAAAATATGGATGGAGGACAACAGAGCTGCTTCATGGAAGAAGAACCTCAGCTTAGTCTGTTAGCCCTCATGCTATATTGCCTTATAGGTATTAGCTTGGTGCTAACATGACAAACAAACCTTCTCCTCTCTGTCAACGCTCTCTGGTTTCATTTAAAAGAGTCGATCRTCAGATATTGTCCAAGATTAACCTTCAGGGTGGATATAGCTCACTAGCAGCCTCGTGTCGATGACCTAGTTGATGTCATCAATTTCCCAGAATGCTTTGTGTGTAAATAAAATGGCCCCATCCGTGTAATATATTTTTAAACTTTTAGTTTAAAAATTATRAAAACTGAACATCCTACAGTATTTTTACAGTCTTTATTTTACAGTTAAAATATATGTTTATCAAATAAAGTCTAATGTTACAACTAATCGGGGATCCCTTTAACAGGTAGGATAGTATTTATTCACGATCTTTCCATAGAATCCCACTTTGTGATAGAGAATAGAACGGTGGGAAAAGCAGTTCTTGTCCTAGATAGTTAAATTCCTCATTATCTAATAAATATATATTTATCATATGAAGCAACATGAGAACACCAAGACATGAAAAGTTGTTTGTTGTTACCTCACTGAAAGAAGAAAACAAACTACAACAGAAAATTAACAAATTATTTTAAAAAATGTTCACAGTTTTGGTGTCATTTCAGGAAATAATCTGACTTCAAAGCCAAACATAAAGTTTATTAGTTCATCCCTGATTTCTTACTGCGCATGAAGCTCTAACAGCAGTTTTTATGAATATTTGTTGGATTCAGACTCACTCATGTCCTCAGACAGAGGGGGGAACTCGTAGATGTGTTCACATGTGTTCTTGCTGCTGGGCATACAGAAGCCGAACTCAAAGTCGAAGCTTTTCAGCAGYTTTTCTCTGAAATAATGTCTCTCAATCATCCGGAAGTTTTCTATTGGCGTGTCTCCGACTGTGAACTCAACTCTGGAAGAACAAAAAGAAAAAAAAGGGAAAGTGTGTGAGTCAGATGTTCTTAAGATGAAGTTTTTTATTTAATTCAGTTGATTTATGTGTGTTCTCACTCACGTGGCYCCAACTTGTCGCAGTCGAAGGAAAGCAGACGTGAACTGATAACGGACRAAACGGCCGGCGTTTGGGTCGATGTCCCGCTTCTGTCCTGCTTTATCTGAAGAGGAAATAACAAATAAAATATTTTCAGTCATAGACAGTCACTGTAAGTACTTGACCAAAGCAAACATGGATCATGAACCTTCTGCTCTTCTAAACAAAGCTAAAACCCCACTGGACTGTTGTGGAATAAAAATAATGAACTTTATGCGCTGAGTTTACGTCACGTTTTGTGTTCAGTTTTTTTGAAAATTCTTTATTTTCTCTACCAATCAAACTAATTATTACAGAAGAGCATTGCATTCACCAAATTAAAAAAAATAGGACTCCTGATCTCATAATTACGAGATCAGGATCTCATAATTACGAGAAAAGATCTCATAATTACGAGATAAGATGTCATAATTACGAGATCAGGATCTCATAATTACGAGATATTATCTCATAATTACGAGGAAAGATCTCATAATTATGAGAAAAGATCTCATAATTACAAGATAAGATGTCATAATTACGAGATCAGGATCTCATTATTTTGAGAAAAGATCTCATAATTATGAGAAAAAAATCTCAAAATCACAAGATAAGATTATGACATATGATCTCGTAATTATGACATCTTATCTCATAATTATGAGATCTTTTCTCATAATTATCTCACAATTATGAGATCTTTTCTCGTAATTATAACATCTCATAATTATGAGATCTTTTCTCTTAATTATGACATCTTATCTCATAATTATGGCATCTTTTCTTATAATTATGACATTATTTCATAATTATCTCACAATTAGAAAAGATCTCATAATTATGAGATCTTTTCTCATAATTATGACTTATCTTATAATTATGAGATCTTTTCTCATAATTAGGACATCTTATCTCATAATTATGAGATCATTATCTCGTATTTATTGGATCAGGAGTCAATTTTTTTAGGTGAATGCAATGCTCTTCTGTAAATTATTGTTCTGCTTTCTCATGTTTTCCTGTGAATTTTGCTTGCTGGTTTAAAAGTTTTGTTTATTTTCTTATTCTTTGTCAATTCAGTAAAAAACAACATGTCTGTAGCCTTCCTATAGTATTTCTGGTCACCAGGTTTGTATTTTAACCACCATCTCCATGTTCACAATCAGCTCTTCTGTTCCCACTTTTGAATCACTTCTACTCGTTAAAACAGGTGTGCTTCTTGGTTATTTGTCAGATTKTATTTACCTCATCTTATAAAGCCATTCGGTTTATTTTGCCCTTTGAACCATATATTGTCAGAATATGAGCTGAAAGAATGGAACATGGGCAACAGATCGAACTAAAACTGCAGCAAACCAAAAAGTATWCATAGAAGAAGTGCTTTGCACAAAAASTAATRAAAGTTGRTAGATTATTTCTTTGCTTCTTGGCAATAAATCTTACAATGTTGGAAAGCCTGTTARTTCCCTTTYAAATGGTGCCACATTTGTAAGGAACAGGCATTTGTGGGATGAGCCAGAAAAAATTGCCAGATCTTCYCTRMCAAACTGCTTATTTTGWAGTTAWTGACTCTTGTYTTGAGCTTCTRGTATATCCAGATGCTGCCAATCAGGTGCCTGATACAGGATTTATTGTCAAGAAGCRAAGAAWTAATYTACCAAACCCAAATTTCCTTAATTAACGGGCTGAGTATAGACGTWGTGTTTCTCTATGAGAATGTATGATGTGTAACAATGTATAGAGCTGCTTTCTGATGTGTTTAATGTCAGTGCTTCAGATTAAACATGAAAAATCCAGAGTTATTCAGCGACTCGCCTGTGCACGGAGGTTTGGTGATTTCAAACAGAACAGTGCCGGTCTCCATGTCTCTGATCTTGAATCTTGTGAAGTCGATGTTGTAAATGTTCTCCTCTGGGCCACACAGATAATCTAAGAAGAAGAAGAAGAAAAAGAGGAATTACAAAAAAGAAATGCATAATAATAATAATAATAATAATAATAATAAAGTGCATGAATAAAATTGCTGACATTTATCGTCAAAAATTACCAAAGACTGTGTAGTACGGAAGACGATCAGGGCCACTGGAAAAAAGATTTAAAAAAAGAGTAATTCTGACTTCAATTTCAGAATTCTGAGATTAAAGTCAGAATTACTTTTTTGTTTTTTCAGTGGCCCTAATCCTCTTCCGTAGTTTAGTATATTTTCTAAAGCATGTTTCAGCTGGGATCCAACATTTAGTTCCAGCAGAGTCTTAGAAAATGAAAAACAGAGAGTAATGTTCTAATATGACCTAAATTACAAAAAAGAATGATGTTATGTAAAAACAGGATAAACTACAGCGGGTAAAATAAGTATTGAACACGTCACCATTTTTCTCAGTAAATATATTACTAGAGGTGCTAATGACATGAAATTTTCACCAGATGT